CAACCACAGTAGCCACAGGAGATTGAAAAGGCAATGTGAGAGCAGGCTGGTGGAGACCATAAAAATTCCAGCGTTTGCAACAAAGACACAATCTTTGTACTGAGCGTGATTCCAACTTCAACATAAGGAAGCAAAATGTTTTTTCCTGAAGTTAAACATGAATAACAAGATATATCAAACTTTTTTCCATGTAACACACACGAATTGAATTAACTTTGAATCAACTTTGTCAGTACTTACTTAGTAAGCGTTCAGATGTCCAGAGAAAGTAAATAGAAAACAAGGCATTTACTCTGTATAAAAGCTGGAATAAAAATCATTAGGTGTAAATGTACCATTAAGCCTGAGCCACTGGCACCTGTGGCTCGCGTTGCCCGCAGCCTGCCAATAACCACGGTCCCTCCTCCGCCTGGCTTACAGAACTGCCGTTCTTTCCTGGGCAGCAAATGTCCAGTTAAAACCCTGAAGCCAGAGACGCCAAGAAGAGACGTCGGTGGCCAGTGAAATTCAGCAGACTTCCACTAGATGGGACAGGGGAAAACTAAAATCATGAAATCTGCCACATTCTGCTTCTTGCCCTTGCTCTCCACCCTGGGTCCTGTCTGGTCAGACGCACAAAGACACACGAGCCCTCTGGGCAGCGTGAGGAGGAAGTGGAGGGACCAGGGCGGAGGGGTCAAGCCTCCTTCCATAGAGGCGGAGGGACTGGACTGCAGGGGCGAAACCTCTCTCCACAGAAGCGGAGGGACCGGACTGTAGGGGCGAAGCCTCCCCCGTAGGTGGGAAGGAGAGGAGGGACCGGGATGCAGGGGCGAAGCCTCCCCCCAGGGATGCAGGACAGAAAGGAGGGACAGGGATGCAGGGGCGAAGCCTCCCCCCCGGGGGATGCAGGATGGAGAGGAAGGACCAGGGCGCAGGAGCGAAGCCTCCCTCCAGGGATGCAGGATGGAGAGGAGGGACAGGGATGCAGGGGTGAAGCCTCCCCGCAAGGACGCAGGATGGAGAGGAGGGACCAGCGCGCAGGGGCGAAGCCTTCCCTCGGGGATGCAGGATGGAGAGGAGGGACCGGGATGCAGGGGCGAAGCCTCCCCGCAAGGACGCAGGATGGAGAGGAGGGACCGGGATGCAGGGGCGAAGCCTCCCCGCAAGGACGCAGGATGGAGAGGAGGGACCGGGATGCAGGGGCGAAGCCTCCCCGCAAGGACGCAGGATGGAGAGGAGGGACCGGGATGCAGGGGCGAAGCCTCCCCACAGGGATGCAGGGCGGAGAGGAGGGACCAGGGCACAGGGGCAGCGCTGCTGGCTGCATCAGCACACAGGTTCCATTTCTGCCTGTCCTCTTGTTAACTGAGAAAAATAACTCGTGGACTTAGGCCGCTGGGATTTGGTTTTCCATTTTCTATTTCTTGTAGGCGAAGTCAATTGCTAACACTTCTGAGGAGTCAGCATAAAATTCCCCTATCACCTTTGGAGGGTTTCCTTCTGTAGGTGGTTAAGACCTGCCATTTCAGCCTGATGTGTATTGCTCAGGTTTGTGGATTCGGTTTTCCCCGTCCTTTGATCTCTTTCAAGAGGCAAATTCAGAATCATTTGATACAAAATGGTTCTGACACCCACATTCGAGTTCCTGATGGCCTTTGTTGAGTGCCTGTTTCACATCAGGCTCTACACCTACAATCTCCTGTTCCATGTACAGTAACTCTGAGGGGCAGATTTCAAAGAACTGTTTTCTGGTCTGGGGCTGAAATTGAGGAGGCTGGGATCCTATGGCCTGCAGGTCGTGCGCCTGGTAAGCTGGGAGGCCCCTGTTCCATCTGCGTTTAACCCCCATATCTGTTACTTCCCACAGCCTGACACTGCCACTGCGCCGGCGTGCACGCCCTTCCTCAGCCTTTCCACTTTGTCAGAAGGAGGTTCAGCAGACAAGCGTGTGTAGACGGGAGTTTGAGCGGTGAGATTTCATTACTGTGAGGGGTGTTCTGCCTCCACTCCCTGCCACAGCCTGGTGACTTGTTCTGACCCACGTGACAGACTTTGGCCAGCAGATATTAGCAGACAGGTCACAGCTGAGGCTTGAAACGTGCTTGTGCAGTCCCACTGACTTTCTTGCATTTCAGCCGCAGCTGAGCAAGAACCTGTCCCTCATGACCCATGAGTCCCAGAGTCCCAGGAGGATGAGACTCCAGCCCACCCGTGCCCATCCTGACGCACAGAGCCAGTTCAGCAGAGCCCAGACTACCATACTAGACCCATACTAGACTGACCAACCTCGACAACGCACAGGGATAAAGACAAAGGTAAACGAGCATTGTATAATATTCATACTGTCTTTTTTTTTTTTTTTTGAGACAGAGCCTCACTCTATCCCCCAGACTGGAGCACAGTGGCATGACCTTGGCTCACAGCAACCTCCACCTCCCGGGTTCAAGTTGTTGGGAGCAGGCGCCCCAAAATCTGGTCATAAACTGGCCCCAAAACTGGCCATAAACAAAATCTCTGCAGCACTGTCACGTGTTCGTGATGGCCATGACGCCCAGGCTGGAAGGCTGTGGGTTTACCGGAATGAGGGCAAGGAACACCTGGCCCGCTCAGGCATTCTTAAGCCTTGATCTGCCCCTCCCCCACACCCCACATTAAAGGCATTCTTAAGCCACAAACAATAGCACCAGCGATCTGTGCCTTAGGGACATGCTCCCGCTGCAGTTAACTAGCCCAACCTATTCCTTTAATTCAGCCCATCCCTTCTCCCGTAAGGGATACTTTTAGTTAATTGTATACCTATAGAAATAATGCTAATGACTGGCTCGCTGTTAATAAATACGTGGGTAAATCTCTGTTGGGGCTCTCAGCTCTGAAGGTTGTGAGACTCCTGATTTCCCACTTCACACTCTATATTTCTGTGTGTGTGTCTTTAATTCCTCTAGTGCCACTGGGTTCGGGTCTCCCTGACTGAGCTGGTCTCGGCACAAGTGATTCTCATGCCTTAGTTTCCCGAGTAACTGGGATTACAGGCACCTGTCACCATGCCTGGCTAATGTTTTGTATTTTTAGTAGAGACAGGGTTTCACCATGTTCGCCAGACTGGTCTTGAACTACTGACCTCAGGTGATCCATCTGCCTCGGCCTCCCAAAGTGCTGGGATTGCAGGCATGAGCCACCACACCCAGCCCATATTGTCTTTCTTGAGTAGCTTTGTGTTTGCACGACTTGATTGTCCAATTGGCAGCTTATGATGTCAGTCATTTCTGTACATTGATTCCAAAAAAAAGCTGAAAACATTCACCTAGATCATTCAAAAAATTTCTGGTGTGGCAATGATGGGCATGATTTATGAGTTGGTCCGTATGCTTCTAAAATAAATCTCCAACCAAGATATTTTTGACAAAAATACAGGAAAGCCTTTTCAGACATAACGAGGAGAGTGGGGGATGGTTTGGGGAGGGAGGCATCTTTCGCTAGCAACAGGCACATGGCCCAGGTAAGAGAAACAGATTTCTGGTTTGGATTTGCAATCTTAATATTTTGCAATAAGAACCAGCTGCACTGGCTCCATGCCTCCCCACTCCCTTTCCCTTCCTGTCTTTTTCAAGCTCTTTCAGTCTTCTTGAATACTTCATCCTCTCCTACCTACTCCAAATCCCAGTTTAAGCCCCACCGCCGCTAGCAGCTTTCTCTGACAACAGTCGTCTCCTAATGCCCTTCACAGTATTGTCTTTACTGCACAATTGATCATCGCCAATGCTAAGACAGAGTTTTACAAAGATCACTTTTTTTCTGAAGAGAAAAAAAATTGTGTATGGGGTTGGGGTGGGCTGGGTGAATTTACCAGGACCAGGAGGCAGTAAGGAATCCTGGAGGAAGTGTGTCCAGTTAAGATGCTACCACAACAGTCCAAGGAAAACACGAGGGCCTAAGCAAGGCAGGGATGCAGGTGTGGGGGAGGAGGACACAGGATGCTATGTGGGGTGTGGAGTGTGGGGGAGAGGATGCAGGTGTGGGGGAGGAGGACACAGGATGCTGTGTGGGGTGTGGAGTGTGGGGGAGAGGATGCAGGGTGTGGGGGAGGGGAACGTGGGGGAGGGGAACGTGGGGTGTGGGGGAGGGAGACCTGGGTGTAGGGGGGCGGGGTGTGGGGGAGAGGAATGCGAGGTGCGGGGGAGGGGGACAGGAGGTGTGGGGGAGGGGAATGTGGGGTGTGGGGGAGGGGCAGATCAAGGCATCCTCAGGCTTCTAGTTGTGTTAACTTGGAGAAAAGCACCAGCTTTTTTTTTTTTTTTTTTTTTTTTTGAGACTGAGTCTCATTCTATTGCCCAGGCTGGACTGCAATGGCATGATCTCAGATCACTGACAATCTCTCCCTCGCAGGTTCAAGCGATTCTCCTGCCTCAGCCTCCCAAGTAGCTGGGATTGCAGGCACCTGCCACCATGTCCAGCTAATTTTTGTATTTTCAGTAGAGATGGGGTTTCACCAGATTGGCCAGGCTGGTCTCAAACTCCTGACCTCAGATGATACACCCGCCTCGGGCTCTCAAAGTGCTGGGAATACAGGCATGAGCCACTGTGCCCGGCCACCAGCTTTAATCAAAATAAGGCACTCTTTTTGTTTCTTCTGAAGTTTCCTATAGCACTGGGTGACGTCAGCAGCACTGGCCAGTGTGGAGTTCAGACTCACGGAAAGATGACCTTCCACACGGTCAGGGCAAACACGTGTACGTGGCACACCTGGGGTGCAGGTTCCAAGCACTTTGCATACATTAACAACTCACATAATTCTCTTCCCATGTGTGGGAGTAGGAGGCTCATGCATGCCACCAGCATCTCCGCATCCCGGGGGGAACTGAGGGGTCATGTCTAAAGTCACACCCCACTCAGGGTCACAGCCAGGATCCCATTCTTTCTGCCCAGAGCCCTCCTCTTTCCCTCCCTTACAGTGGACACCTGTACAATTAAGCAATTATCAACATCTGCATTTAGTTGGAAAAAAAAAAAAAAGACTAACATAGTTTTAATAGCATACTTTATTTTAATCTAAGAAAAATGATTAAATTCAAAGGTCAGAAATACAAAAGATTATCCAAAAAGTTTAGGATCATAACTGTTTCTTAAACAACATTGGCATGTACTTGAGCTGGTTCTGTGGCTCCAAAGGCTTGATTTTTACCTTGCACAGTTTAAATAAGGAAGAAGCCTTATGCGATGCTCCACAAGCATCCCAACCTCACAAACGTCATTCTACAAGGCACGTCTCAGGGGATTTGGGGCCACGAAGATGTTTCTCCAACCAACAGTCTGAGCCGAGATAGAATCACATTGAAGTTTCCGCTCTCAGACTGTCCTCCAAACGGTTCCTACAGACAGAGGGCGCCCTGAGCTCCGGGCCCAGGCCTGAGCGGGGCAGCTGGCTGTGCACGCAGGCCAGTTCCGTTGGTCACCGTGTGGGCATTCCACTCCTATCCTTCTCTGCCAGTGCCACTCAGATGAATTTCCCATTGGCAAGTTCTTGTACCCTTGATGCATTCAGAAAAGCAGAAAGGAACCGTGGGGACCCGCAGGCACTTCTCCCCGGCTGCCAACACCAGCCCAGGGGGCACCATGGATCCGGCTGTGCCTTCAGTAAGGAGACTGCTCATAATTGGTTCAGGTGAAGACTTTACCTTCCGGTAGCCCTGGGGTGGACCAGGTAGGAGGATCGTGTAGGAGAAAAACCAAGCAGACAAGCCTGTTAGCCAGCTCGGTCACACCGTGACTGGCCTTACATTTTGGAAGGATGGGCCCCTCCTAGGGAGCCTCCCACCATCAGGACGACTCTCCAGGACTCGCTCGAGCCCCAGGGCAAAACTCAAACAGAAGCTTCAAATGGAAAAGCAAACATCCTTTGAGCCAAAGTATCACACCAAAGACAGTTTGGAAATAGTATTTCCTCCAGGGGAACTACCTGTACTTAACTGGATAGCTTTAGTGGTTGCGTGATTCATTGTACGAGCAAGATCTCTGGAAAGCAAAACAAGATAAACTAACAGAAAATCCCAAGAAACAAACCACCCCCTGCATGTTAACTGCCTGAAGGGTCAACCGTACATCACAACCTTCCATGGAAATGTGGAGCTTCCAACATGATTCCACAATGCTGTAAGCACAGCCGTCTGGAAGTGACTGCAGGGGTTGGGGAAAGCCATAGGATTGCAACCAGAGTGCCTAGAGCTCTACTGTTAACATGTGGAAGGCGAAGAAATTAAGCCTAAATGCATTCAAATACATCTCCACCACATACAGATTTCCAAGGTCAAAGGAGGACACATACATTGTATGTGATTAATTTTCTGAAGCCAGCTCTCCATTTTCACAGATTAAAACAGTCTGTTTAAATATCTCATTTCTACAAAGTGAATTTACATTTAAAGTACAAAGTGCAAATACTATGTGTTTCTGTTTTTGTTTTCTTAATTGCTCGTTGGTGAGGGAATTTCCCACGTGTCTAGGAACTGCCTTCGCTGTGTGAGCCATTTATCCTTGTTTCCTTGGCTGAAAAGAAAAGACAAAAAAGAGACATTATATTCAGAGGTGTGTGTCACTCATCTGAGAAGACTAAGTGGCTTCCGGGAATGAACTGAACCAAAGAGGGCTGGGCAGGTCGTGTGAGGTGCAAGGATGAATGAGAAACGATGAAGACATTTTGGACGCTGGTAACTTTTTAACGCTTTCCTTCCTTGACATGATAGAAATATTGGGAAAAATATATCATTTCAAAAAAGTAACATCCACTGTAAATATTTTAAGTACTAAATACATTAAATGTTTTCCAGAATGTCTTATCACCTTGATTATGCAAAAATAATTTTAATAATATAACTTATGCTTCAAATTTGATAAAGGCATAGTTGATTCTTAATTTTCCTTTTTATCTCTTTTGTTCACTATTTTACCTCTTTAAGAAGAAATCCAACTTAAAAAGTTTGCTGATTATAATGATAAACAATGGTAACTCAGCACCTTGACTTTCAATTAAAAGTAATTTAGAATGAAAAAGAAAAGTAATATACAATCTCCTAGACTCAGTTTTCCAAGAGGGCCAATTCTTACAAATGTTGATCTATTCTTCTGTTTTATTATTTAAATAATTAAATTTTAAAGTTTAGGAGGTTTCTGGGTTGGCTTTTATTCCCCTTGATAAAGATCTGAAGAGGTGAGAAGACAAACCCATCTCCTACACTAAACTTGAGATTTAAATTAGTTGTGCATAAAGACAACCCGTCAAAGTATTTTACCAGTCATTAAAGATGGCCAGGATTGCTGGAGGAGAAGGTGGACTAAGATCTTAACTTATTTAATAACAGCTCTGACTACTCTGGAGTTGCAGTGGAAGCTGAAGAGATCAGGAAATAGCTCCTTTGGATTCCACGTTAGCATCATGCACCCTCCTGTGATCCCTTCTTTTGATAGTTCCTGTCTGGGTCATGCATATAGGGACACCCTGGCTGGCTGGCACTATGTTATTCTTTGAGATGCTTCAAAGAAACGTGGTGATCTTCAATGGCCACGGCCGGTAGGAGCCGCAACTGGCTTGCCCGTTAGGATCAATCCCAGTATCGTAGTTTGCAGAATAGCCACAAAATGAAAGGCATGGAGGTCCGCGCGTCCACTCAGGCACTAGAAAAGGAAGGGAAACTGCTTCCGTTTCTCTCTTCGGAAAAAAAGAGCTGAAGCAGGAGGCGTGTGCTTTGAACTGAGTTCATTTAAGATGCATGGAGCGCATGAGTACAGTGATTGCCGTTCTCGAATGAAAACAACTTCTGGAGGTCTTGGCACTCAGGGAGGGTAATTACTTTCAGACCAGCCCTGTTTTAAAGTGTAAGTGATTTGCGGTGAGATTTAAAGTTAAAACCATAAACATTTGCTAAACAAAGGAAAACGTATCACACATCTTTCCTCATGAAATGGTTTTAAATTACATCCAAGGTGTGTGCTGGCCGCCTCCACTTAAACCCACAACAAATATAGGGGCTTGCCTTAGGAAATGTCAACCTGACATCAAACAGGTGCAGGCAAAATAAATCACAATTGACTCGTGGTAGCAAAGAAGTGAGGATTTTGCCCTGGCTTTGAAGGAGAGAGACATGAACCCACTCATGTTTATCGTCTGGAAAATGTTCTTGACATGGGATAGGTTGTGGCTTTGGGTGCTGGAGGACACCATCATCGCATCCTTTACTTGCAAATTGAGAGGCAGAACCAGAAACACACACACATGTTTGTGAACACACAGCAGGAGCCGAAAGTCCCTTTTGGAGCCCAACGCTTCTCTTGCTGGGACCCCAAAAAGAAACAAATTCACCCATGTATGAAGGATGCCTCCTGTTCCTGCAACCTCCCTGATAAAATGCAGGAACCAAATTACAAACACTCAGACAACTGCTTGAAAAAATTCAGCCAGGCACAGTGGCTCACACCTGTAATCCCAGGTGGACTGCTTGAGCCTATGAGTTCGAGACTAGCCTGGGCAACATGGCAAAACTCCTTCTCTTAAAAAAAAAAAAAAATCTACCAAACAAGGGAACTCAGGAATTTTTCTTAATAATTGAAAGTTCAAATAATAAACTTTTTCAATCAACAAGTTGGTGATTTTGAATAGAATTCTGTAAGACTGCTTTAGTCCCCACAGGGGGTAGACAGTAAGCTTGTCTCCCTTGAATTATTTCTTGTCTTGGAAGGTACTGGCCATTGCAAATCTACATAACTCTGAATTGTTATTGTTTATAATTTAAAAAGGAAATGGTTAAGAGTAAAATATAAACATACTTACCTGTCTATTAGACGTACTTTCAGCATTACCTCTGGGGGCTAGCAGGAAAAAATATATATATTATTAAAATCAGAGACTTATTATTTAATGAAAGGTTCAACATAATTTCAGGAAGGAGTCCACATCACTTTAGGAAGGTGTTATCAATCGGCAAACTCATTTACATGAAAAAAATGCATACAGTCATTCCTCAGCATCCAGAAGGGATTGGCTCCAGGACTCCCGCAAACCCAATTCTCCAATTCTCAAGTTTCTTATAGAGTATCATGTAATATTTTAATATAATATAAATACATCCTCCTATGTACTTTAAATAATCGATAGACTAGTTAAAATGCTTAGTGCAATGTTAATGCTGTGTAAATAGTTGCTATATACTACATTGTTTTTATTTGTATCTTTTTTGTTCTCTGAGAATTTTTGCTGCAAGTTTGCTTGAATCCACAGAGGAGCTAACTATATATGCATTGAACATAAATTATGAGTAGTGGATTATGAAAGTTACTATGTAAGTACTTTCTAACAACACGGATTCTCTAGTCCAGCCTTAGAAGAATGTTTTACTTTACCCCAAACTCTAAGGTAAATCCACCTTCTCTGGCGAACTGAATTCTAGATGTTTCTCAACCTTTCCCCAGAAGTAGGGGGTTCACGTCCCTGGGGTGCTGGGAGCGAAGCCATCAGCAATGCCCCAGCTAGGGCTCTTTGAAGTCTTTTGCTTCTATATTAAACCCGGAGAAATGAAAGTGTTTGGCTCAAAACAGCTTTTTCCAAAGCTTCGAGTAGAGTCAAAGCCGGAGGGAGCTGTGCTATCTCCTGGCTTCACCGCCCCTGCACAGCGGAGCTTCCCTGAAAAGTCTCCTTCCTGCTCTCATCTCAGCTGCCACACCTGCGTCTCCACGGAAACCTTTGGGACGTCGCCCCCAGGGGCTTCAGCATCCTCATCCCTTTCCCACTTTCACCCACTCACTAGTGGGCTCGGTTGGTCTCAGGGTTTTAAATACTCTATTTCCTGATAGCTCCAAGGATACAAATTGCTGTAATCTTCAGCATGGACCTCTTTCTCTCCTCAGTCCAGGTTATCAGATCCAACTTCGTTATCCATGTGGATTTTCATTCAATAGGCAGCTCAAAGAAACAGGACCCAGCTGGACTCATTATCTGCCCTTGCAAACCTACTTTCTGACGTATTCCATTCTCAGGACACAGTAACCCCATTCTTGAGCTGCTCAGGACAAACTTTTGGAGTCATGATCATGCCTCTTTTCTCCTACCTTTCTCATCTCATCTGGGAGGAAATCCCTCGGGCTCTACACCCAGAGTCTATCCAGAGTCCAACCCTCGTAGTACACGCTGTTCCGTGGCCAGAACCGCCCGCCTCTCCCACGTGGACCCGAACAGACACCTCACCACTCTCCTCCTTCAGCCCTTCCCATCTGTTGTCTACACAAACATGGCAACCAGGGGTCCTCTGTAACATTCCACCCATCCTTCCAACAGCCTCACTCAGAGAAGCAGCCAGGGGCTCCTGGGCTACACTGGAGGCGGGATGTGCTCTGCCCCGTCCACCCATCCTTCCAACGGCCTCACTCAGAGAAGCAGCCAGAGGCTCCTGGGCTATGCTGGAGGCGGGGTGTGCTCTGCCCTGTCCGCCCATGTGGCATCACATCACTCGGGATGCCTGCCCCTCTCCAGTGCCCAATTTCTCCCCACCTCTGGGGCTTGCTGGGCATGGCACTCCTGCCATCCTCTGCAGGCTGCACTGTACCCAACGACCCTTGGTTCTCCTCTGCTCCTCCAGTCTCCAGTCAATCTCACTTTGCAGGGCCTCCTCCCTGTCCCCATCTAACGTTCCAGCCCTCCTGACCCTCCCTTCTGCCTCCTCCACAAGTAACCCCTATCGTGCTGTGGGGTTTCCTGTTTGTCTGATGACTTGCTTCCACACCAAAGTGTAATCCCAAAAGGGACACACATTTCTGTGTGTTTACTGTTATTCTGTCAATGTCTACAGCAGAAAGCACTTGGTCAATAGTTTTCAAATGAATCATCAGATGAGGGAAGCATCCTTCTTTCCATATTCCTTGATTAACTGTTGATTTCTATCCACTCAATAAAAACATGGAGTAAAGAGCAAAATTGTTCTATTTTCAAACTGTCTTCTCTTACCATAAAGCAAGTAGAAACACGGTGTGAAAAGGTGCAAAACAAGCATATTAGGTAAATTGCAAAAACATTAAGCAGTGGCTAAATCTATGATTTTTTTAAATAGCTGGTTTTAATGGTCTAAGTGCCCAAATGAATATTGCTGCTCATCTACTTGTCTTGACCGAAATGATTACTTTACAGGAAAAAAAACAGGCTTTTCAGCCAACGGTTCAAATTTAAATACTATTAGAGTGATACTTTGAATCTATTCTGAGCCAATTTGGCTATTCAACAATTGCCAGTTTTTTGTTGGACTGTTTGCTCATTAATAGAATTCTCCCTTGGAGTTAGAAGTAGCTGTAAAGTTATAAAAGGAAGTAGCTGTAGATTAAAGTTATAAAAAAAAGTTATAAAAAGAAGTTTATATGGGCTATGCTGGAGGTGGGGTGTGCTCTGCCCTGTCCACCCATCCTTCCAACGGTCTCACTCAGAGAAGCAGCTAGAGGCTCCTGGGCTATGCTGGAGGCATATAAAAATCCTGGGATATGCTGGAGGTTATTTTTAAAAAGTTAATATTCTTTTTTTTTTTTTTTTTTTTTTTTTGCCAGGGAGGATGGGGTCTCACTCTGCCACCCAGACTGGAATGCAATGGCACAATCTCGGCTCACTGCAACCTCCAACTCCCAGGTTCAAGCGATTCTCCTGCCTCAGCCTCCCGAATAGCTGGGATTACAGGCTCGCACCACCATGCCTAGCTAATTATTGTACTTTTAGTAGAGACGGGGTTTCACCATGTTGGCCAGAATGGTCTCAAACTCCTGACCTGGTGGCATCGGCCTCCCAAAGTGCTGGGATTACATGCGTGAGCCACCACGCCTGGCTTATTTCTCATATTTTTTAGAGTAAAAAGTGCACTGTTCAGTAGTGTGCAAAAATACAGAAAACAAAAAAACTTAGTAGCAATGTGGATATTTAGAATGTTCTTGCTAATTTCTTCCTGGATCTTAAGGTTTTTCTGACTTTTTGCTATTACAAACTATATAGGGTAGAAAACATATGACTGATAATGAATTTTTTAAGTCAGAAAAGAGAAAAATTCCGTAAGGAAATGAAAGGGCTGCAAAATCAGCTAAATATGTATCCGAGACCACAATGTTCATTTTTGACCATGACCAAATTGCCTCTTTTGCCAAATTGCAGTTTATTTTGCTAGGAGCGATCATATGCTTTCTTCTTGATTACTAAGAAGACAATAAAACTGAGACATATCAGATTATTCAGAGGGATCTAAAGAAGATAATTCAAACTTCTGCAGCAACTTAAACTTTTCACCTCAGATGATGGCATCAGAGAGATCACGTTGTGCTCCACCATCCATCCATTCTTCCTTGCCAGGGTCTAAGCACTCCAGCCCATCCATGCCCCTTCCCTGCCCACACTGTGGCTTGAGCCTTTGGAAGGTGGGAGTCTGAGAGGTACCATCTCCGAGCATCTGCCTCCCCTGTGGCTGTGCGAGTGGCTCAGCCTCTCATGCTTCTCTGCCACATCTCCCCAAGACCTGTGCTGACCTGTGCTGAACCTGCATTCCCACCCAGGGCAGCATGGTGGCAACCCACAACCTTTATGCTATGTAAACCCAGAAGGAAATGCTTGGGTCCTAAGCCATTGCGATTCTGTAGTCACTTGCGTGAAGCATGACCCATGGAAGGTCATGACTCATAAAGGTCACCTTCATTTCAGTCTATCAATATATGCAAGGAAAAAACATTTCCTCCCAGGGCTTTCTCCCAGAGCTACTGAGAATCCATGTATCCATCAACACCAGGGTCCTGCTCAGTCTTAGCAGAGAGCAATGTGGACCCGTCCTAGAAGGAACCGACAACCTTTCCAAATCAGGATATGCGGCTCACAACAGTTGTCTGTATTCTGCTGCCACCTTCCAAAGAGACTGTCTAGGGGATTTAGCTTGCTCATGAGGGACTCATATCCTTCTATCAGAACCCAATCCATGGGCCAGTTCCTTGGAGAGTGGGTGTATTAACCATGACTTTCACTTCCTTTATCTAAAGCTTTGACATCTGAACCCTGCTTATGCTGAAGAGGCTGCCCTCTGAGTTAGCCCATCCCCAGAGACAGTGAGGAGCAGCCTTTCCTATTCAGGCGACCTACAACCTTCACTCTCACCCAGCCAACAAACCTCCACCCTCACCCAGCCTATAATCTACAACCTCACCAACCCTATAACACCCACCCTCACTCAACCTACAATCTCTACCCTCACTCAACCTACAACCTCCACCCTCACCCAGCCAACAACCTCTATCCTCACCCAACCTACAACCTCCACCTTCACCCAACCTACAACCTCCACCCTCACCCAGACAACAACCAACACCCTCATCCAGCCTACAACCTCCACCCTCATTCAGGCTACAACCTCTGCCCTCACCCAGCCTACAACCTCCACCTTCACTGACCATTCAACCTCTACCTCATCCATACTATAACCTCCACCCTCACCAAACCTACAACCTCCACCCTCACCCAACCTACAACTTCCACCCTCACCCAACCTACAATCTCTACCCTCATCCAAGCTAAACCTCCACCCTCACCCATATTATAACCTCCAACCTCAATCAGCAAACAAGCTTCACCCTCACCTAACCTACAACCTGCACCCTCACTCAACCTACAACCTCCACCCTCATCTAAGCTACAACCTTTACCCTCACCCAGTCTACAACCTCCACCCTCACTCACCATACAACCTCCACCTTCACCCATATTATAACCTGCACCCTCAACCAGCAAACAACCTTTACCCTCACCCAACCTCCAACCTCACCTAACCTACAACCTTTACCCCTACCCAACCTACAACCTCTACCCT